CTTTGCAATCACTGAGATCATTTGAGAGCTGGACAATGAATAAGGGAACTATACTGTTGTTGTTGTTGTGCACCATTGAGTTAGAATGACTCACAGCTGACCCTCTGACAGGTTTTCAGAGGTAGTTAACTGAATGAATTAATACCGGATGATTTCACTGGAGAGGACTAAAAACAGAGTCAGGGAGAGGCCAGACATTTTCCAAAGTAAAGAGAGTCTGATTCAGACAGTGGTTGTTACGCCGGGAGTTAGAACCCGCTCATAGCTGACCCTGTAGCAGGTTTTCAAAGGCTGTAAATATCTTAGGAGAAGATTGCTCATCTTTCGCCTACTGAGCAGCTGTGGATTCAAACTGCTTACCCACTAGGCCAGCAGAGCTCCCTCAGACAGTGGCAATGGGGATGAAATGGAAGAGGATGAATGAATGGTATACACAAAAAGAGATATAACAGGATTTGGCATCTGGTTAGATTTGGAGGCAGAGAGAGAAAAAGAAATTTGTGATTTGTTCATATCTACTGAGTTTCCACATTTACTGGCATGGCTTAAGGTATAATGAAGATGATAAAATCAGATCCCTGTTTCAGTAGATCTCTCATTTTAATGGAGAGAAAGAGACAAGCATTGATATTCTGGCATTGATATATTACATATCTTTTTGTATGCCAGGAAATAAAAAAAATTGTATAGAGAAAAATATAGCAGGAAGTTTTGGAGGAATAAAAGGTGATCCCATAAAGCTTGAGGGAGTCAGGCCATATGAAGACTATTCTCAGTAGAAGGAATTGTTGTTGTGTGCTGTGTAGTCTGAACCAACTTATAGTTGACCCTCCAGTGGTTGTCAGAGACTGTAAATCTCAATGAAGAGACTGCCCATCCTTCTGTCTCAGAGCAGCTGTTAGATTCAAACTGCCTGTATTTGGGTTGGCAGCACAAATCCTTACAAAGTCACCAGAACTCAGTAGAAGGAATAGCAGCTGCAAAAGCCTCAGGGTTTACTTTCATCAACAATGAGGAAGGAAACCAGAGTTCCAGGAATGGAGTATGCCAAAGAAGAGGGCAGAGAAGTAGCTGGAGGCCAGAACACACAGAATTGAGTTTCCTTTGTTCTGTTAATGAGGTGGATTAAAGTTTCTATTGAAGCAATCCTTTTTGGGACATGTTATTATTAGGTGCATTCTAATTGATTATGATCCACTGTGACCCTATGAACAGATCAGAACCTTGGGATCATAAGGAAATGAAATCAGCATCGATGGAGGAACAGAGAGATACCAGGTCACATGACGAATGCCTAGAAATAGAAGCTCAGAAAAAACAAAGACCTTCCTCCAGAGGAGACAGAGAGCCTTCCCCCAGATTTAGCAGAGTCTCCCAAATGGTAAGAAAATTAATTTCCATTTGTTAAAACTGATCCTTCATGGTATCTGTGATAGAATGGGACTCAGATAACAAAGATAGTCTCTATGAAAACCTTCTGCCTTGCACAGTTCTTTCAAACTCTTGTTTTACATCCAGACCAGCCTCCCAATTCACAAACAGCAAATAAAATCTATAAATAAACATTCACAAATTTCATTTCATGAAATTTCATTTTCAACAAGATTAACCAGGAGCCTCTTTGCAAAGAGTTTAAATGTAAAAAATGGAATGTACCTCATTTCAACACCAAACTCCCAATATGTAACTTAAATACAAGTAACAAGCTATCATTTTAGCATAAACATTCCTTATAACATCACTTTCTGATCATGAAACAACTAATATGGCTACTAACAAACAGTTGCTTTGTACGTGTAGAATTATATAGCCTCTCTCAACACCATGAACATCTGAATATCCCTTTTGTTAACATGCCAACTGTTATACAGAGCTCATTTATCTTTGCGGTTCCTGAAAGACAGCCCTTGGAATTCCCCAACAATGAAGATGTTTTTGTCTTCTATTCAGACAACACTCAAATGTATATAAATGAGTAGGCTACTGAGACCTATTAAGTCATCTAACTTCAGGAAGGGAGAGGGCATAATTCAATCATACATATTTAATAACTCAATGAATCATGAGTATGTAATGAGGCCCCAATCAAGACTATGCAAGGAAGCAATAAAAGGCTCTATATATGGGACTTCCTGGACTGGAAAGAGTAATGCTTTCAAGAGGGCAACATGTCCCTGACACAATTTAAGTCTCACTCTGGGACTCCTGGATATCATCTAGTGTGCTTCTTGGATTCTTTCTAACAGAGTAATACGAAGTATAGGTAGTTTCTATGAATTCTGTGAGCCTTTCCAGTGAATTAGCAAACCTATCAGGGCAGAGAGAGCTGGCAAGGGCTGGCATATGTTTACTGGGCCATTTGAAGGCAGAGGTCTTCTAACTTGTGTATTTTGACTTGGATAGACTGGTTGCATGAACAACTGGTAGGAAGGACAAAGTCCTAACTTGTGAGCTCTAGTCTGACTCTGGGTAAATGGAAACTGGAGACAGGATGCTGCTCAGGGGTTGATGAGGAAAAGAGATCTAGGAGGCTGGAGACTGTGTCCATTTTCAGGTAGAGGCTGGATTAATGGTGACCCGTGAGGTGACACTGAGTTGGCAATAAAAATGGAATGTGTCCCCAGAGGGACTTGCTTAGTGCACCACTGTATGCACTTGTCAAAACATGTACATGATTCTGAAGTTCTACTATACCCATTCCTCAGTTATCAATATGACTAGGTTCCAAAGACCAGGTTAAGCAAAAATTGGTGTTATGTGAAAACAGAGGATAACTAAATCAGATTACAAAATAGAGGATGACTATATCATTGTGTAACTGCCAAACCACTAAGAATCATGGCCCAGGCAAGCTGACACATTGCCGTAGCCATCATATCCATGTTACTCTTGCCGTGCACCATGGTATTTGTTACTACTGGATGTAAATTGTTGATGCAAGAAAGTTGACCGTTTTGGGGTTTATTTACTATTGCCATAAATACGAAATGTCAGCTGATAAGTTGTGAAGAATAGGTGTAATGGCATTTGGAATATAACTCAAAATATTTTATACATGTCATTTAAAAATTGCTGACTCTTGTGGCTGTAAATATGATTTCTCCCCCCAGTATCAGTAAAAACAAAAACAAAAACAGTGCACTGAGACATATATATTCTTTTTTTTGGGGGGGTGTGTATATCGTCAAATCAGATCTGACTGGTACTGGAAGAGATTGCCCCTCCTTCTCTAGCAGAGCATCTGATGGATTCAAACCACGTACCTCTGGGATTGCAGTAAAGTTTTTTGCCATTACACCACCAGAGCTCCCTGAGACATATATATTCTTCTAAAACATTTAATATTGTGGGTAAGAAAACAATAAATTAGTTACATAAATGGAGGATTTTCTATACAGAAAAAATTCTGAATACAAGTTAGGTAGTAAAGTTAATGATACAGAAAAAGTTCGAGATATGATTTACATAAACAAGCAGGCTCTAAAGAAGACAGAGTCCTATTTGTAAAACATAGGTACATATTAATATATATGTTGTGATTATGTTGTTGTTCTTCTTGACTGCCTTTGAGTCAAGCACGACTCACAGTGACACTATGAACAAAAGGCCTGAAGCCTTTCTATAACTATTGACATTTATCAAAGTTCATAGTTTCCAGAGGAATGCTATTTAGGAAGTGGATATCACTCATTATAAAAATACTGTACAGTAATACAACAACTTCCAGCCAAAAAAATCCCTGGACCAGATGGTTTTACAAGTGAATTTTATCAAACATTCAGAGAAGAACTGTTACCAATTCTACATAAACTATTTCAGGAAACAGAGAAAGATGGAATTCTCCCAGATTCACTCTATGAAGCAAACATATCCTTGATACCCAAGCTAGGAAAGGACACCACCAAAATAGAAAACTATAGGCCAATATCTCTTATGAACAAAAATCCTGAATAAAATACTGGCCAATACAATTCAACAATACATCAAAGAAATAATTCACCATGACCAAGTGGGATTTATAACAGGTATGCAAGGATGGTTCAACATAAGGAAAACAATTAATGTAATTCATCACATTAACAAAGCAAAGAACAAGAACCACAACCTGTCAACTGATGCAGAACAAAATAGGATTAGAGGGGAATTTCTTCAACATAGTAAAAAGTATTTATGCAAACCCGAGAGCCAACATTGTTCTCAATGGAGAGACGTTAAAGGCATTCCCTTTAAGAACAGGAACTAGGCAAGGATGCCCACTATCACCTCTTTTATTGAATATTGTATTGGAAGTTTTAGCAATAGCAATAAACAAGAGAAGGAAATAAGAGGTATCCAAATTGGCAAAGAGGAGGTAAAATTATCTCTCTATGCAGATGATATGCTAGTATACTTAGAAAACCCTAAAGACTCAGCAAGAAAGCTATTGGACATATTTGACCAATTCAGCAAAGTAGCAGGATACAAGATCAACATACAAAAATCAGTTGGCTTTCTCTACAGTGACAGAGACTACAGAGCTGGTGCTAAGAAAAACAATACCCTTCACAATAGCTAATCACAAGATTAAATAACCAGAAGCACAAAGGATCTATTCAAAGACAATTACAAAACATTACTACAAGAAACAAAACGAGACCTAGAGAAGTGGAAGAATACCCCTTGCTCATGGATAGGAAGACTCAATATTGTCAAAATGGCTATACTACCAAAGGCAATTTACACGTTCAATGCAATCCCAACACAAATACCAATCCCATTCTTCAAGGAGATGGAAAAGGTAATCTCCAGTTTCATTTGGAAGGGAAGGAAGGCCCAAATAAGCAAAGCACCCCTTAAAAATAGAAAAAAGGGTCCTCATGGCAGCGGAAGCTTGGGCACTGTATGGTGGTGATTGAGCGAGCCTGGCGGGCAGGCACCGAGCTCTGGCCTGGCCTCCACGTGCTCCCCGGGCTCCGCACTCCTAATGTTTCGCTGGTGTTGAGTCCTTCCCGGCCGGGACAATGGTGAAATATTTTCTGGGCCAGAGCGTGCTCAGGAGTTCCTGGGACCAAGTGTTCGCCGCCTTCTGGCAGTGGTACCCGAATCCCTACAGCAAACATGTCTTGACGGAAGGCATAGTACACCGGGAGGTTACCCCTGACCAGAAACTCCTGTCCCGGGGACTCCTGACCAAGACCAACAGGATGCTGCGCTGGGCTGAGCGATTGTTTCCTGCCAATGTTGCTCACTCGGTGTACATCCTGGAGGACTCTATTGTGGACGCACAAAATCAGACCATGACCACCTTCACCTGGAACATCAACCATGCCCGGCTGATGGTGGTGGAGGAACGCTGTGTTTACTATGTGAACTCTGATAACAGTGGTTGGACCGAAATCCCCTGAGAAGCCTGGGTCTCCTCTAGCTTGTTTGGTGTCTCCAGAGCTGTCCAGGAATTTGGTCTGGCTCGATTTAAAAACAATGTGACCAAGACCATGAAGGGTTTTGAATACATCTTGGCCAAGCTACAAGGTGAAGCCCCTTCTAAGACACTTGTTGAAACTGCCAAGGAAGCCAAGGAAAAGGCAAAAGAGACAGCACTGGCAGCTACAGAGAAGGCCAAGGACCTAGCCAGCAAGGCAGCCACCAAGAAACAGCAGCAGCAGCAGCAACAATTTGTGTAGCCATCATCAGCCCAGCACAGCCCTTCTACCACCACCATCGCACAGCAGACAATCCAGCTCCAACCCCCTAGCCCCAGTGTGCTCTCTTGTTAAAAATCAACATCCAGCCATATTTCTTGCCTTAGAGATAGACTAGGGCAAGGGGTAAGGGTCTTGTTTGGCATCTACAGAACAGCAAGCATGTCATCCATTGTCTGTGCTGATTCTGCATATTCCTCCCATTTGGCAGCTGAGGTACAGAGAGGCACAGACTTGCCTGGGTCAGTGTACAAGTGAAGTGGGAAATGCTAGACTGTAAGCTCCGTGAGGGCAGGGATCTGTTTGCTTTCTGATGTGTCCCAAGTATTTGGAATAATACCTAGTACGTAATCAGCACTCAATAAATAACTTGACTTCGGTTACTCCCCCCCCCCAAAAAAAAAGAAAAGAAAAAAGGTAGGAGGCATCTCACTCCCTGATTTCAAATCCTACTACACTGCCATGGTGACAAACACATAGATCAATGGAATAGAATTGAGAACCCGGAAATGAGCCCATCTACCTATGGTCAACTGATTTTTGACGAGGAGATGAAATCAGTTAAGTGGGGAAATGACAGCCTTTTAATTTATTTTTTTAAAT